GAAGGGAGTTGAAAACGCGACTGTTGATCTGCTCCTTGTTCATGTCACCAAACGCCAGATTGACTTTATCCTAGAAACTTCTCTGGCAAATTTAATAAACATAATTTGTAAGAGAAGAAGGTAAAACAACAAATACTGGCGTAGTTCGGCTTGGTGGGGACATTGAACAGTACTCAACAATATTCATACAGGTCACCATGTGAAGACCTGTAAAATCCTGTGCGCGAAGTGGCTTAGTGCACAGCTACACAGCTGCACAGCTTCACAGCAGTTTACATGTTACCAAAGCGAGGCATGTTAATGGACATGAAGTAATAAAAAGAACAAGCAAAGTGCAAAATGTCCCCCCCCCCCCGCTAGCCGAGTAGTGCCCAAGTCTATTCGCACATGAGAGCGAAAAACAACTATTTGATGACAAAACTATCTGCAAAAGAGATTTTTACGAACAGAAGGGCGCTATTCTAGTGAGGTTGGGCACTGCGGTGGAGTAACGGTTTTAGCTAACTAAATGAGGATTTTTGTCTTGAGCTTGGGGGAAAAAGCCTCAGGAGCGAATCAATTTCTCTGTGAAGGACTCCGACAGAAATTCCTACAGTTATCCCAAGTTTGCATAAAACAATCCCTACATAGCCCTACTACACTAGAATAACGCCCAGAAAGGACAAATTCTTGTCGAATACTCGCCAGTTATCTTGTACTTGCTCTCGTAAACATGGAAGCCACTCACATTCATGGCTTTATCAGCATTTCGCCTGGCAGAAGCATTGGCATCGTGTTTCGTGACCATATCTCCTCCAGAGTTACGGAACACTGGGCTGCTGTGTGTTGGTGCATCATCGGTTAACTTAATTAAAGCTGAATAAAAACCTCAAGGAATCACTGTCTAGAGTGCAACGACGTTATCTAAAGGCACCAGCCTGTTAGGCCACGTTAATACTTTGCGACTGAGGAGATTTGGCGGTTTGGAAGATTTGGCGATTAGAGGGATTGCGCGTCGTGGAAAGTTAAGTTATCGATCTGGCGATTGAAAAGACTCGCCAGATCGCTAAATCTCCCAAAACGCCAGATTGCTGATTCCCTCCAACCGCAACATCGATACCTCTGCTTTTCTCGTCGCGCGATCTCTGGAAATCTCCTCACGTGCAAGGCATAAACGAGGCCGTACGAGTTGGGAGACGACGCATCATTTCAAAAACTAACGAGAAAACCTATCTTGCATCGTTGTGAATTGACGTCACAAGCACGTCAGTGACGTGCAATGTGACGTCAACGACAGGTCATCTCCCTGGGCGGGTCACCTGTGCAACAATAGCGAAAAAATACCTTAGCATAGAGTAGATCGGTAACAAACTGTCTGGCATCCTCGTCGTCACTCGAAATATCAGAATCCTGGGCTGTTTTCGGATAGTATCGATCAGGAGTTACAGTCACAGTGGCTGAAGGAATATGATCTGCACAGTTGGACAAAACCGTCAAGCAAAACTAGGAAATATCTGGCGAAATCAATAGAGAAACTGAAAAAAAAGAGGAAAACGAATTACCCGGTGCTTTTCCCTTCTTTCTCCTGCTCCAGAATTACAGAAAGTTCGTATTCACGGTCGAACTGACGCTGAAGTTCTCTCGCCATCTCCTCGTCATTGTTGTATGCCTAAGCCACGAGAAATCACGTCTTACTTTACCGCTTCAAACGCGCACTATCAAACAATTAACGAACGATACTACTCTTGCAGTCTGGCGCCACCCAAACGCCGCACATAGGGAGCACTATCTCAGAGAGGACGCATACGAACATACATAGTCACTGCCCCATAGCCACCCCTACCCTCAGACCCAGAAGCTCCTTACGAATCTTGGTGCTAACATATTTAGTATTAGGTTGACCGGAAAGTTTCCCGCCACGTGTTTGATCGCACCATATTAGCCTTGCATGTATGTTTATGACTTATCGTGGGGTGTGCATGAAGCACGCAAGAGACTCTTTCACATCACTACCTCACACTCACCCAGCTTGCATTTGGATTCCAAAATGCCGCCCAAGTTTCAACCCGACAGGATGCACCTGAGGCACTGTCTTCTTTTCCTTCATCAGTCTGGCTTAAACGCAAAGGAAGCCCAAGCCAAGATAGTGGATACATATGCTGACGCTATCTCTTACGACACGTGCAAGACCTGGATGGCCAAGTTCAAGAAAGGAGATTTTTCTCTCCAAGATGCTCCAAGGTCCGGCCGGCCGATGGAGTTAGACTTGAAGTTGCTGCAATCCACCGTGGAAGAGGATCCGTACGCCACTACCAGGGAACTTGCAGCGATGCTCGGCCATGCCCAATCAACTGTTGAATCTGGGCTGGAGAAGATTGGTAAAGTCGCAAAGCTTGGCCGTTGGATTCCTCACCAATTCAATGGCGGGAAACTTTCCGGTCAACCTAATAGTAGGACACTCAGCCGCGCCTCTGTGTTTCTTTCCCTTGTCAAGGCGAGGACTGAGAGCGCAGACGACCAGAGCAGCCGAAGGATGGTATATTTATTGTTTAGCGAAGGGACAAGAGACGCCGCCGAGTCCCCCCCCCTCCCAATCCCAATCTCGGGAGGCCCGAGCCTTTCAACGAACTTCTTGTAAACGTGGTTACATGGAGTCTGTGCGGCGCGACAGTGTCAGGTCATGTCTGTCTGTCTTCGCCTTTGATCGGATACGAAACTAAGGGTGCACTCATTCTAAAGCTTTGGAAAGACCTGGCAAGACAGCAGCAGAAGAACGACTATCGCAGCGTAACCCCCTCCCTCTCCCAACTGCCTCCGCCTTGAACTTGACATTCTTACCGGTGTAGCTTCGCTTTCAGCAATCGCTTGTAGAAACTCTTGTTCCTTCCGACGTTCCTCTTCGTTCAAAGTCTCAGCCAGATCTTCACTCATTATTTCGACAAAGGAAACGATCGGTTCACAATCCTTGACAACAAACCGTGTTATTTACAGAAAACATGACAAAAACTATAAAAAAATACCTCCTCTTTCCGTCCCCAGGCACTTTTGCCACCCCACGCACTGCATTCTCCTTTCCCCGACATTTTCGACGTTGCAAGAAGGATATGTACAAACGGAATAAACAAAAATGGTTTTTAAAACCCTTGCAACAATCGAAAGAACGGTCGAGGCTCAACCCAATAGTCCTGAGGGAGATGTTGATCCCTTGAAAGAAAAAGCGTCAATGAATGGTCGTAACTTAGAAAACAGTGTGATGGAACGAAACAACGCTGCTAATAACGAATAACGCCAGATAAAATCCGTTTTGGCGGGCTATTGTACTAGACTAGAGCATTGGTGCAAAACATTTTCACGACTACAGTTCTCGCATATTGGGCATGCAATGGTTACCGAGTATGCAGTCCCGCCACAGTAGAACAAAGAGGTCCGCAATAACAACCCAATATTTTGGACTAGCGCTCTCTTTTATTGCCCTGAGGAAGTGTGTTCATAGTGCGCGATTCGATCGCACGATCCGGGCGATTGGCTCGCAAATTATGAACGCGCTCTGAAGCTGTCTGACCGAGAAACAACGACGAAAAAGAAAAACTGAACCGTTTTGGGCAAAATTTACTGTCCGATTTGCAAACTGAAGCTATGATGTCAAATTCAGGGACAGATTTCCTATGAAAATCTAAATCAAACTGACGGCTGGTAGGAAGGACCCGAAACGCTGGCGCAGCATTGGTTGCGTCCAATGCATCATGTTTCTACCTATAATCTGGAAATATAAGTCCGAGCTGGGTGAACCCTACATAAAATGCGGACTCCCTTTTCACCTAAAGGAGTTCGCGCCCATAACGGGCATCTCTTGACTCAAGCTGCATTCATACTTTGCCACGGGGGAGACTCGGCGATTTGAGAGTTGCACGAGAGGAAAGAATAGGCATCGCTTTGGAGGCAGTGACGATTGAGCGACCCGATGATTTGGGAGAATCCGCGTTTTCGCTAATCGCGCGCGTGAGAATTGGATAGGTATCGATCGGCGCTGGTCGCTAGCAACTGCGAAGATCCGGCAATCTCTTGAAACTCCGGATCGCTGAATTTCTCAAACCAGCGCATCGCCGAGCCTCTCAAATCGCCGAATCTCCTCCGTCGCAAAGTGTAACCGTGGCGTAATCTGTTGAACAGGGGACCTTTGCTTCAACTACATCGAAACCTTAATAAATGAGGAGACAAAAGTAGTTCTTGTTGAGGCTAATATGGAAACTTGTTAAATTAGAAAACAAGAAAAAGACATGAAAACTGCTACAGACCATCCACCGCTCGATATAGCAATAAATCGACTAAGGAGAGAGCTGTACTATGCTTGAATGGATCATGAGTAGCGCTCCGGTGGGAGAAGCATGACTCCGTCGGTTCTGGACTGAAACAGACCTACCAAAACCACTTGTTCATGACGTAATACTTATGAAATATTGCGCCACCAGCGAACTACAAGGCCTTGGCAAAGTGTCATAGCTACAGTACTCGCGGACCTGCGAATCGCACATGGATTCTTGGCATGCATATCATCTGGCTGCTTTCAAAACGACGTGCAGCTGTTGTTTTTTCCGTTGATCGGCGCAACCTCGTGAGTTCCGTAGCTTTTTTGTCATCTAGCGTTTTCTGTGGTTATAACGGACTACTTTGAGTAGAAATCCGAAGTTCTTGCAGCCCTTTTTTGGGTTTATTTTGTTCAATTCGGAGGTGTGTCATTAAGTGCAACGAACTTCCCTAGTGAGAGGCTGCTGTTCTTTTTATGGCCCGTCGCTTTTGTTTTAACGACATAGAACATTATCACCTTACGTATATTGTTCGGGCATCACTTCTATAACTTCCTGTAGATCGACCAATCAATCCTGTGACAATGGGCTAATTGAACCGCTCCATATTACAGCTATTTAATGAAAATTCCACTTAATGACAATTAAACAATTTCGCGCTAAAGTAGTAGCCCTTAGTGGTCATTATTAGTTGGTTTGGAAAGTAAAACTGTAGGTGCCGCGCAATATTCGTCCGAATACCTCTTGTTAAAATTCTTTTGACAATGAGAATAGAGAGCTCAAGTATTTACATTGTTGGGTAAAGCAACTAAGACGCTTCTGTCTCTTTGGCTGTAAATTTTCTGTCGACCTGGTACCCACTCATACCGGACCCTTTCGAAAATAAGTGATCAAGTGATCAATCTCACGTGACTCGTCTAGCGCTGGGTTGAGCGATTAGCAGTGCAAACTGAAAACTCAAAGGTCAGGCATTGTTCACACTCTGCGGTCCAGCGTTTCTCTGAAACGCGGCGGTTCGGCGAAAAGCTTTCGATACATATCGACTGGCGGTTGGGCGAAAGGGTTTTGGTACGTATCGACGGGCGTTTCGCCAAACCGCGACGTTTTTCGCCTTCGACAAAACGCTAGCTCCATCGCGGTGGCGTTTTTCGCCAGCGAAATCGATACACATCTACTGCTTTTCGCCCAACCGCCCAACCGCGGCGGTTGGACGGTTGGGCGATTTCCGATCGATGACTATTTATTGCTTTTCTCCCAACCGCCGGGTCGCAATCTGTGGACAATGCCTCAGGCTCCTTTCAAATAACCGGAGAGAAATACTTAGGTAGTTCGCAGCATGTTAACATCCGTCTGTAATTTTTTTTTACCTTTAACTTACTTTTTCGTTGTAACCGTTTTGCGTGCAGTAGGCTGCGTTCATACTTTGCGTCAGCGTTTTACGTACGAAAGCGTTTTGAGCGACTAAGGAAGTGTCGGTATCGATTCACGGGCGAAGGCGAAACGCGGGGGAAAGGGGAAAGTAAAACCCCACGCGGATATCATATCATGATATTATACTTCCCTGATCGCTCGAACGTTGACGTACACAAAGCATGAACGCACACTTACTGGTTTGTTCACAGTGAGAGTTGGTATTTTACAGGTTTTCTTGTTTGCAACGTTCGTAAGCTTAATAGCTTCGTTCGTTTGCGACCTATCAAAACGCTAGAATGTCAGGAGGAACAGTTATGGACCATATCACATCTCTTCCTCATCAGAACGATCAAAACGTCATCCGTCATCTGACTAACTTTGGTTCGTCCATCTAATTTTTAAAGAAGCAGAATAAAATTGTTGGAATAAAATTTTTGGCCGTCCCTGCGCAGTTTGGGACACCTGCAGTTAAATAATGTAGCAGATCGTCCTTTATTTGAAGGCGGGGAGTCGAAGAAAACACTCAATTTATATGACCTTATAAAAAACGCCAAAAAATGGAAATATAGGAACAAAGAGAATGAAAGAATGCCAATGGACCACGAACACCAGTGCGAGACCGCTTTTTTGTTCAAAAAATAATCCCATCTCTGCCATCATCCGTGGTGAGCCGGTTCAGTGATAGTGTATTGGAAACAATCCGAAAAAGGGTAAAGCCGAAGGTGGAAAAAAAGTGCATTGCGGTCAATACACGGACCATTTAGTATGCTAATCCGAAGTTAGGTGGAGTTATAGCTATAATGGTGAATTTTCAATAACAAGAAGCAATTTTAGTGAAAACACCCGCGTCAGGTGATGCTGACATTAAGAAGAAAAGAGGAGTCTCTGGCTTGGAAATATGTTGGCAAAGAATAAACAGACGGAAGAGCTGAGGAAGGTATGACTTGGCTTTTTTGGAGTGTCATATGAATTCTACAGTGCATAAATAGCTGTTTTAATGTTTATTTTACTTTATCGCTTTGAGCACGTTTGCGATCTCTCAAACATTTCTTTATTTGTTTAGAACACTTATAAGGCGGCGCTGAAGAGCTTGGCAGAAACATTAAATTTTCTTGAATAAATATACATAAAAAACGATAAAAGATCGATAACAACTGTGAAAGAAGCCTTTTATAGTTGTTGACAGTCTAAAATATGCTAGAGGGTCATGAAAGTTCCTGCGTTCAGGCAAAATATGCAATATCCGCTCTGACCGTAAAAAATGCGCTCTGGAGCAGTTTCAGGCCTGGTAGCGCGGTGGGGATGGGATGAATACTCCTGTCAGGGACACCACTATCATCGATTTTTTGAAAGGGGATATGTTAGTACGACCCGCTTCCCCCTTGGACGGAGGGTCCTTCGGTACGCCCCCAACCGCCTTCCCCCAACACCTATGCGGCAAATCATCTCTCAAAAGGCAACAATGGCGACCCTCCTCCTCCTCTCACAACGAACCCAACAATACCACCCCCCTCCCTGTTCTTCACACAACGTGGCCTGTAACATCTTCTCGGCTACCGGAAAACATCGCGCTAAACGGGTAGTTAAGGCAATTTCGTCAGGGCTGCATCTACGCAATTATAGGAAGTGAGAAAAGTGCGCACATGCCGAATCTTAGTTGGGGGGAGGGAGCGAAATGGAGTTCGCGCTATGTACGTACAAGTTACGCAGTTGTGAGGATCGGAACGTTCCCGGTCCCGAATGGCGCTGTTGCACAATTTCGCAGCTTCGCAAGAGTTTCCCACCAGATTGAGACCTTTCAGCTTAGACGAACTAACAAAAGAAAGTAGCAAATGTGCAAAATGTCCCCTCATGGTGAACTCCTCTTGAGAAATTTACTCTGAGTTTTGAGATTCCAGTGCATCAAGCACAAGTCACGAGATTAGTCTTGCAATATAAGGCGAGAAAAGACGGAACAACCATTATTTTCTACTTTTATTCGAATGTACATGGCGTTCTTACATTTATCGTTCCTACTTTTCAACAGAATGTTGACAAACTCGTCCTTTCTTGTTTCGCCTAAGGGAAGCCAAAGCGCAGCTAAACTACGTACGAATTTGGTTGATTTGTGTCTGATGATTAGATGGCTCAGGATGTGACATCACAAAGGGTTTTTTTGATATTATTCGATTTTCCAGTGGCCTTTGTTTGAAACTGGTCCTCAAATTTTTTCATCGAAGGCGTATTGGAGAATATTGAGTTCTCTTTCCAGATTGAACTAGTGCGAGAATGTATACAGTGGGCGATGGATCAGAATCGCACATTTCTTCGTCAAACACTCGAAGCTCGTTTAATTAACCGATTGAGTTCAATGATGCTTCAGCAGAATGATACACATCCCCCGGCCTCATTCCACTAAGGAGTAAACTGGATTTTCTGTATTTTACTTTTTTTTACCCCAATTTTGGTGTAGGCGGCCGCATGTTTGCGTGCCAAAAATGTTTCGGAAAAATCACTTGTAAGGTCATAAATATACAAAAAAAGGCCAAAAAATTTGGCAAGTAACCAAGAGCTTCGCGCGCGCTTCGGGGTGTTTCTGCGAGCATGCTGATAAATGCGCCTTATACCCCAAAATAGGATAATATCCGGCTGTCGTTCATGACCTTCGTGTGGCACCTTGTGATGGGTTGTAGTGATGAAGCTGTAGATGAGCTTATGGCCTTTCTTTCAGCTGGCTGACCCTCAATCCGTGAACCTGAAAAAGCTTGACGATAAGGATGTCCTTGTGGAAGTGGAGTTGGAAGAGAGCAAAGCTTTCTATCATCTTGGAAACATTGGGAGAGCACGAGCATCGCTGACTGGAGCTCGAACCACTGCGAATGCCAATCTATGTGCAGCCTAGGATGCAGGTGATTGATTTCTTCATATTTATGTGGTTCTCTCGAAGTAATTTTTGACTCTGTAAGCGGAAACTTGATATTTTCATGTGAAATTGTAATTGTTTTCATGTATGGTTTCTCGCTGATTTATTACTAGACAGCGTTCATACTTTGCAAATATGTAGAGTCTGCAATTTGGGCGTTTCGCTAGATTTCGCGGTTCCATAAAATCGGCAACATACAAAGAATCCGTTTCGATCTGAAGGATTTGGGCGAATGCGCGATTTAAAGACAGTCCCCCCCGCGCTCAAGTAGTACATGGTCGTCCTTCCTTGTGCAGGTAGTTCAGCCCCCCCCCTCCCAAAGCTAGATGCTTGTCCCTCTAGCGACTCCACAGTGAGTAAGGAAGCGAGCTACAGCTGCTCGAAGTTCCAGTTCTAACTCCCGCCCAGTTGGACCGCCTCACTTGCTAGCTGCCCTCTGACTGAGAGCCGCTCAGTTGTTCTTTGTTGGGACGGCGGGCATTAATCGGAACTGCATGTACTTTTTGCTGACCGCGCTCGTGCCCATAAATAATTCTGCTCTCCTTCATCACATTTTATTCATTGGGAGCACATACAGTCAACTGCAACCCATCTCGTAAGGTAAAACGCGTAAAAAAATCACGAATGATGGGGCATTTTCGTGGTGCAAAAAGCTAACCGCAACTTCAGTGCACTAAAACTGTGCGCTGCGTAGACCCCAAAATTCGAAAACACTGATTTCTTAAATTTTTTTCCTTCCAAGAGTTCTCGCTTTTGCGTTTTTATTGTTTTTGTATCTTTTTTTTTGCAGCCTGATGATCATCAACTTTTGGAGATGCTTATAGAGAGATTTGTGAGCTAGGGTGCACAAAACGCGCAGGGAGGTGTGGGACTAAATGAGGAGCGATTGTTTAATGTTGTTCTGAGGATCGCTTCCTGTCTCTTCTTTGGGAGATTACTAATCAGCTACTGTTTCATAATTGAAACAACTTTCCAAGACACTTATCGCGGGAGCTGTCTTTAAAGAGTCAGCGGACGAATGTAACTGGTTCGCCATGGATTCTCTGAATCGCAGAATTGCTCCTAGTAATTCGGAGGGGGGCATCTAAAGGACTCCATGCGCAAAACTGGGGTCAGAACACGTATATACTTCGCGACGACCGCGAATCCAAGCGATCTGAACGCTTTAACATCAATAAAGATGAAGAATTTTACCCTATTGTACACTAATACGCCAAGCGAGTATGCGGTTTTAACTTTTGTGTGTTTTGAAGGTTCAGAGGTCTGGTTGTCGAGAATCGGTTGAAATCTAACGAAGGCGCTTCTATGGAATTCTCTTTCAGGCCGCATTGGATTTACAGTCCGGCGTTCTTCATGCTGCAGACGAGAAAGACTTTAAAACAGCGTTCTCGTACTTCTATGAGGCTTTCGAAGGATACGATTCGGTTGACGAAAAGAGCTTGGCACTTTTGTCTCTGAAGTATATGCTTTTATGTAAGGTGGGATTCTCAAACAAGTTTCGTTGAAATTGTGGCGGCGAGTTTTCAATGGCTCGTTTTAGGTAATGCTTGATGTACCTGATGACGTCAATACACTACTAACGGGTAAGCTTGCGCTGAAGTACTCCGGGTCGGATTTGGATGCAATGCGGGCTATTGCTGCAGCTGCGAAGAAGAGAAGTTTAGCAGATTTCAATACTGCCTTTGGCCTAATCCACAAGAGGCTACGGTGATTTCTCCGGTTCCGCCTAGACCAATAGTACTTCTTTTTCATTGTTTATCTATGTGGTTTAAGATGGATCCTGTCGTTCGCAAACATTTCAACTCCCTCAGTGAACGAATGCTGGAGAAGGACCTGTGCCGTATCATTGAACCCTACTCCTACGTTCAAATCGACCACATTGCCAACAGTATTGGTATCGATCGCGAAAAGGTCAGTCGTGGGTGTTGTGACGCAGTTTCGATGGTTATCTTGAGGTTGACAGATGTAACTTTTTTTTTTGTTTTTCTGATGTTTGCGGGAAACGCCAGGCAAAAGAGCCACTTTATGGCTCAGAGAGGGCTGCTCTGAACCTTAAATCACATTCAGTCTCATGGGGGTGATCTGGATGAAACTTCAGGCCATCAATAAAAGTTCTTACTAACAGTCTCGTCTGCACAAAACAAAGCCATCAAAGCTGACTAGCTGGGAGGTGTCATGAAGGTACCTAGGACACTTCCAGGCGTTCTTGTTTGCATAGGGGATCCGATTCTTGTGCGGTAGCGGATTTTTCAATTTAAATCAATAGTTGGTTTCCAAGGTGAAAAGTATGTAAAAACCAATTGAATCGAGCTTTTCTCAACTATATCGTTGCTTTGATTTCACCTTCACCTGAGAGGGGGGTTCTTCCTGCGTGCAAACTCAACAGGTCCACAGTTGCATTGTTTTCCCCACCCAGGGTACCCAATCGTTTATGTGTAAAATATAGCGAATTTGCCGTAACTTCCGAAATTTTCTCTTCTGGCTACGATCCTTTCTCTTGACCTATCAGCAATTTTTCTACGTTTTCTCAACTTGCTACCAGTTCTCTCCCTCCAAAAAAGCTGCTGCTCCAAAAGTCGAGCGTGCGGGAGGGGGAGGATCGGTAGACGCGATCCCACTGATCAAATACTGTTCTCTCCATTGCCGTACTCCCAACGATGTGCATAACGGGAAAAATCAACCGTAAAAAAATTAATTCGGGTCACATGTGACCTCCACAGAAAGTGCAGACAATCAAGCTAGACGTAGGGTGTTACCTTGATGTTCCCTTTA